CGTATGAGTAAGAAAATGCCACCTCATTCTGCTCTCTGAGGGTGCTGTTGGGAGCATGTAATATTATCTGCTTCTTTGTAAGCTCTTCAAAGAAGATTCTAGTAAGAACAGTTAGAATACACATTCCATGCACTGTTGTAATTACAACAGCAAAGTTTGACACTAATGCATCATTATCAAGAGATGAAGAAATATACTGATTATAAAATCACATTCTTATAGTCTTTCAATCTGATCTAGTGAAAGATGTCCTTACCTATAACACAGCGGTTAGAATAGATGATCTTTAAATGTCCCTTCCAGCCCAAACCATTCTATAATTCTATAGAATTATACACAATACTGCTTGCAACTTTTTTTTTTTTTAAGAAGTGGTATTAACTACTAGGACCAGAGTTTAAGTTGATTTTCAGTAATCAGCGGTCCCTTTTGCAAAATATAGGGTCTTCAAGATCTGTAGAAATCTTACGCTATCTCCTGCTCAATTTAGCCAGCAGATTCATCTGAAGTAGAGCATTACGGTTTAGCTTGTGACTGGTTAGTTATTCAAACAGCTGAAACCATGTTCCCAAGATAATTTAATGTATTAATATTATATTTCCAAATACTACTTGTGAGGTTTTTTTATGTTTAGTATAATTATAAAACATGTTTTCTACAGCATTATTAATTATTTTAAGCTTATAGTTACTCTACAGTAATCCTAATGAACTAGCATGTCAGTGACTGAGGCCATGGCGTATGCTCTCTGCATCCTTACCCAACCTACATGGCAGGATTTATTAACAGTGAAACAGTATGTTAGAATGCTTAGCCATTTGAATTTTTTTTCTTTCTTTAGGTTAAATGAAGGAGATGCTTACTACGCACTCAATGATTTTTCACTCCTCATTAAGTCTATTGGGTATGAGAAACTTGTGTTTTTTAATATACCCTACATATTTCATCTTTAAAGCAATTTAAAATTCCCCCCCCCCCCCCCCCCCCCCCCCAAAAAACCACCAGAACATCACTGAGTGAACTTTGTGATGATCCAAATGATAATGTTCTACTGGCATTCCAACAACTGGGCGAAATCTATGAAGAGAAACTGAAGTGTGTTACCTGAAGGAAAAAAAAAAAAAAGAGAAAAAGCAGCAGTACATAATACTCTTACCACACAGATCAGCTGCCTTTTAAGTTACGAACTGGCTAGGTCCGAGTTACCAAATATGCTTCACAATAAAGCTTCAGTAATATCCAATATTAGTAATACAAAGTTTACTTTAGAAAATTAACCTTTACACATTGACATTTTAGAGCTGCAATGTCAACTAAATAATTGTTTCTAATAGATTACAAAACTAGGTAATTGCACATATCCTTTAATTGCACTGTTTTTTTTCAGGCAGTGACATATATGTTAAGACAGCTCTCAAATATACTGAGCAAATGTCACAGTTTTGACAGCTGGTGAGACTGGCCTCTCAGTAGGACAGCACTGGAAACTTTCAGCCCATTTGTGACAGATGTTCAGCAAATACTTTGGCAATTATAATCAAATAAATGGTTCTAATTATTTTCCAATGTTTCTATTAAGTTATGAACCATTATAAAAGTTTTTAAACACATCTGCAGTTTTAGTCTACAAAATTTTAAGTATGAAGAGGGTTTTATATCAGTACAATGAGGTTTGATTAATTAAATGTTCCAAACATATGTAGAATTGCTTCACGTTTCATCCTCAAGAGTCAGAAAGATCCAGGACACCTCTAGCATACTTGTCAAAACATCCCTTGCAATACAAATTACTGAATTTAGGAAAACATGTTTCCTAACTATTTTCTTACATTTTTGCTGGGAAGAGCAAAATTTTTAGCTGTATTTTCATACTATTCCTGAAAATTCTTTAGTTCAGCACTACATTTTAGTCTACTTATAGTCTGAAAAAAATATATACACACATACTAATATTTAGATAACCTAGGAAAATTAGGCTTTGACAACAGTCCTTATTGTCACACAAAATTTTATAATGATGACCAAGATAGTGATGCAAGTTATTCTCTACTGATAATAAGCAAAACGTGCATTAAAGACAATTCAGAACCCCATTTCTTTGAATTAGCTCTGGTGTTCATCACATAATCACTGAAGTCTTTGACTTGAAATCTCTTTAGGCAGCATTAAACTACACGCAACATGTTGCTAGGAGATACTGGGATGGAAAACCTGTATATAGTCAGGTAGTGCTGCTGAGCTGCAATCAACCGACTTAAACTCTTGCTTCCTTCCAGTTTTTTAATATGCGAAACAAAATTACGACAGAAATGGATCTTAGTGGTAGAAAAGACTGCTTTTTAACTCTGCTTGGAAAATAAAATTTACTCAAATTGTTCTTTACAGTCTCGCAATTCATGCCATATGTAGATAAATCTTGCACAACTGTTCCTCAGCTACAGTAGAAAGTGACCTTATTTAGACCTTTCCATGTTGACGTTTCCCAATATAAATTTTCAGCTAAACACAATTAATTGACCAAGGAATAAAATCAGAAACAGGTCCTATTGTGTTCTCAGTTATATGACCAGTAAGCATGAAATCCTGGGTGAAAAACAAACTTACTAGGTCTGTCACGGGGTACTAATTTTACATGCTGAAGACTGCAGTGTCTCTCAAAGCATTAGGAACAGCAGTCAACATTTCACTTTTAATAAGGTATATAAAAAGCACCTCACTGCTTTTAGTAAGGAATAAATAGTGAAAGATGACTAAGTAATTAAGTCAAAATGACCAAGGAATCAACTTGTGAAAATATCAGAAAAATCAGTAATTTTACTGATGTAGTATCTGGGTGGATGGTAATTTTACTGTGACCTACTGTAAATAAAACATCCTGCTTACCACTTATCTCCCTTGTAAATCCTTAATGCTAAGCTACTATGCACTTAGACAACTTGCCATACTTGAAAAGCAGCCCTAGGACTATACTGAACCCACACCCCAACAATTTCCGCTTTCAAAGACAGTGTATTGTAGTCTGCTTATTTGCTTTGTGATTCTATAATGGTTTCTTTTCACTAAAAGATGAAGTACATGCTTAAAATTTTAACTTTATCAAACTCTCGTGAAACACTAATAGAAGTGAACAGAAGATACGTTGAAAATAAGCAATTTTAAGAAATTCAGTAGGGTTTCTGAATAACCCTAACACATTAGGAATTTTTTTTGTCACTGTAAGAGAAAACACACATTTTCCACAACCTTCTGGCAACAAGTTTTATAGGTGCCTTATCTGTGTCTCTAAAATTGTTCTATTTCTCTCACTTTCATTACAGTGAGATGAGCCTCCATCCATGACATCATCTGCCATTATCATCATGCTTAGCCTTTGTCTTCAAGTAATTAAATTAATACCTTTTTAACACTTCTCTCCTACACATACAGGAGAACATGACAAGAATGTCTAGAGCTAAAAGCAGAGCAATTCTTAGGAGAAAACTGAAATACAGTTAGTCTTAAGAGATGAACATAAAGAACTGTAACACTAACAAGAAAGAGAATTATCACCACCTTCCTTACGATAATGCAGATGCAAAGAGAAGATTAGTAAGTTTTATAAATTCTAGAAACTATTTTTCTGCACATTTAATAGAGGAATGCACAGCCACAGAAAAACTGAGGACAAGAATTTCACCCAAAACAAATTAAAATTAGGTCATTTCCTAAATGAAGAATAGTATTTCTAAGTATTCTGTCACAGTAAGTATACTGTTAAGCCTTGCACAGATTTAAGTAATATTTCTCTTATGAAGTTAAAGATTTTTTTTTTAAAGATGACTATCTAGTTGCCAGTGAAGAATTATGAAGGGATATTAAACATTCTGCATTCTGATCTAATTCTTGCCAGTTGACATGTGTACCCAATGCAGGATTAATTTATTTAAAATCTGGCACTAGCTGTTGCTGGAGAGAGAACACTAAATGAAGTAGAGCTTTAATCTTAAGTAGTACTACTGTCTGTGTATTCTAGTAGCTAAAGCACAATTATCTTCTGGATGTAACAAGATGGTTCAAAAATTAGAAAAGATGGTATTTTTATCCTCACTTTGTATCATATTTCACAGACTAAAGACTCAATGAGTTCTGAATCATTCATACTTGCAGTGAGAAGTGCTGTTTTCCTTTTCTCCCGTTATGCAAATTTTAAGAGGAGGTATTTCTGTTTTAAAAGCTAGATTCTCCTAATGCTTTCATCAAAACAACAAGTTAGTATCTGCCAACTGATTCCCAAACTGTTGCCAAAAGGAACTGAAAATTAGTTCTGACAGTTACTTTTCATAAAGGCAGCATCTCAGAAGTGTGGCTGACACCCTTCTGCAGCATATAACAAGAACATTCATGTGGTGTTTCAATTTCAAAAGCATAAGAGAAATTATTGAAGTTACACTCGATGTTGCATCTTCATTAAATACATCATAAAAAAAGAAAACAGCCAAAAAGAGATATGCAAAACAATTTTCAGTAATGCCCTTCAACATCTTTTACTTCCTCCTCCTCCCTCCCTGCCTGAGGGGAATGTAACTGCCTGTACACTCTTACCTATTTAACCCTCGTGCAAGTGCTGCCGTACCAAAACATACTATACTGCTTCCCGCTGCTGAGGCTTCACTGAACCTGCTTCCTGGGACACCTCAGTCTCCCAACACCCACACATACCCCAGTTGCACTTCTCAGAAGGTCTGCATTCTCAAAGATATAGCAAGTGTGGTCATACTTGTCTCTAACAAGACATAACATTTTTGTTAGTTTCTTCAGCTTGGATTTGTACTATAAAAATCAGTTTAGTACACTGTACTTGCTGACAAGCAGTTATGTTTCTAACACAGATACCTCAGTTGGTAAGAATGAGGGTGAACAACATCTGTAAAATCACAGGTATCCCCACTTCTTATGTATTAAGTAGCATTTATTTAATTCCAGCTTATTTAAGTATAGTTATCTTCCATTTCACTCTCTCTTCATGTCTCCGATTTTCTTCTAGTAGGTATTTTGTCTTCAGCAACAGAAAAATATTCTGATGCACTGCTGGTATCAGTAGAGACAGATGTCTGACTTAGCTCTTCAGTGTCAGAATCGCTGTCCCTTGGCACTCCTCCTGCCTCATTTACCGTAAGCGCAGAACCTCCTAAAGTCAGATCATTGCCTGTGCCAGGAACAGAAGCAGCTGCATTCTGAAACAGTAAAGACTCAGGTTCCCCTTCCCTCCTAGGACAGGAACAGTTGTTTTCAGCAACAGTTTCACTTTCTTCGTCTTTTGCCTTTGTTTCTTGTTTTGTCGCTGTTGTAGTAAGTTGAGTGGAAGATGCATTCTCGTATTTAACAGGAAGGACAACTGAACATAAAGGCTGACTACAAGACTTATTACTATCAGCAAGCATTTCTGCACTTTCAGTTTTCTTAGATGAGTTCATGGGAAAGAATGAACCTTCCCATTTTGGATGGCTATGTCTAGAAGCAGGCTCTGTACACTCTGAAGATACAGACTTCCCTAGATTTAGAGGTGTTTTGTCAGATTTCATCTTCTCTTTTTCAATTTTTTCAGTACCATTTCCAGACAAAACCCCAGAAAGAGTCAGCGACTCAGAGGTATTTCTGACAATACTTCCAAATGAAAATACTGGTGAAGGCAACTGAAAACTGTTACTTTTGAAGGAAAACATACAATTACTGGGGATAAGAGAGAACTTGGAGACATCATTCACCCCAGCTTCATTGTTGGTTTCTGAAGTATTGCAAGCTACAGTTGTGATGGATTCTGAAACATTAACTTTTTGTTCCCATGAGACAGATGGCTCCTGCGTACCATATTCTGGAGCTTCCTTTGCAGAAAGTGTTTTTTCTCTCGTGTGAGATGATGTACTTTTGTCAGATGGCTTCTCAGATTGGCTATAGAATGAGGATAATGGTAAAACCTTACATGAATTGCTGACTCCCGATCCTACAAAACAATCTCTGTCTGAACTGCGAAAGGGAAACGAAAAATCTGGCTTCTCACTTTCTGCTGAGTCTAAATTAGAACTGGTTGAAGCATCAGAAACGGTGGGTTTGGTTGCAGGACCATGTTTTCTACATTTGCTTTCATCCTGGTTATCAGTTTTATCCACACAATCACATTTTCCCAGATAAAACTGAGGGAAAACATATTTCTTGTCTTTCTTTTTGAAGGAAAATGTACCTGCATCTTTAATAAATCCGGGTAACGAGTTGTTACATGCACTGAAAGCAAAAGGTGAAGGAGAAAGTCTCTCTGCTGAAACATCTAGAAACTCTGAATTTGAAACTGTAACAGCTACAGATGCTGCTGGTTTTAAGCTGGATGAAGTGCTAGAATTTGCATCCATTTCATTGGAAACAGTAACTGCTGATGCCTGCATTGACAATTTTTCTTTAGTTACTAAGTCTTTGCAGTTTTCTGATAAGGCTGGAGTGGTTACTTCCTGGGAACTTCTCTCATGAAGTAATTTTAAGTCACCATTTGTGTCAGGCAAGTTCACATTTGTGGATGGGATGCTGTGAGTACTGGTTCCAGAAAAGCTTCTCTCATCACAACCATCTGCTCTTTGCAGGGTTTCCATTTTTACTTTATCTGTGTTATTTGCTTTGGCAGGTGAAGATACAAAAGTAGTTCCTGAGGTCCTACCTTTCAAAGCCTCAGTAGTAACAAATTTATACTTTTTATTTGCAGGTAAAGTTTGTGTCTTGAACTCATTGGTGAGCTTCTGACGTTCCATATAGTATTTGTAACGTAACTCCTACAATTACAGCAAAAAATCCCATTAAATAAAAAGGCATTTGTGGATTCAGAGGTTATAAAAGTCACATACAATCCCAAGACTGAAGAAAAGTTTTTGTATATCCTATAACATTTATGATGTATTTTTCCATTGCTGCCAGAAGGCAACAGAACACAAGTCATTATGGAAAAAGTTCTTTTAAAACAATTGAAAAAGATACACATGGAACCCCAACGACAAAGCAGATTTTGAAATAGGAGACTACAGAAAACAGTATTTCAAGTCACTGTCAAAACCAGAAAGAGATAAAAATACTAGCTTAGACATTAAGTGACAAATTCTCAAATTGTCATGAAAAGTAACTAGCTGAAACCAATTTAGGCGTTTTGGTGTGGTGTTTTTTTTTTTTTGTAATAGATACAGTAACTATTGTGTTCTCAATGGGATAGAAAACACATATTCTCCCAAATAACATAACATTATTTTTCTTTTGCTGTATTTAAAGGACCTAAGCAACTTTTTCATTTAATCATCTGCCACTGGTATTGTCAGAACATACATTATGTGATTCACTGCCAGCCGTGTAACTAGAATCATTCTGCACAGAACAATACTCACTCAGCCACCCACACAGAACTGCTATTAATTAAAAATAATCTAGTTGTATAACTAGATCATTTGGAATGAAATAAAAAGAGAGACTGGATTCAGTTTCATGTCAACTTATCAGGAATTCAGGTAGTCTTAGAAAAGTGTATTCTGTTATCTTCAGAAAACAGAACACCTGCAGATGACTTCCAAAGAAATGCCTGTTTGAAGAGGATTAGAAAGCTACAGATGTGACTCAAAAAGCCACACTAAAATATAAAAATAAACATTTCAAGTCAGTAGTAAGATTAAGTTCCAGCTTTCTGAAGCAAAAAGAGACAAGAGTAAAATCCTGACAGCTTTAATAGCCTAGTCAGATTTACATTCTAGAATTGGCAGGGTACCTTTCTACGAAGAAAACTAAAAAAAGATTATAAAAGCGTATTTAGAAATTTGTGTCATAACAAATAGTAACTTAGCCATACTTACAACAGATGCTCAATCATACCTCATGACTCATGTTTTGAAAAGCTGACATTTCTGATATTGACATTAAGCGAGTACAGATCCTGCTACCGTCTGCTAGTGCTTCCTCCTGTCCTGCTACAGGCTGAAAAAATGTTTTGCAGCAGACATTATAGTTTGTTTTGATAAGACAAAATAAACAAGATAGTACAGTGTTGCAGCCCCAGTCAGTAACTTACAAGAAATGTGTTGGGTATATTCTTCTGGTCCTGCCATTGCTTTATGTTATTTTTAAATAGAGTGTTTTTTGTTGAGTTCTCATTTCCTCCAGAAGGTAGATCTATTAGAAAGAATACAAGAATACTGATGGAGAGCATATTAAGTATGGAAAATACCGAAAGGTTCCTGTCCATCTAAGCATAGATTCTAATTAAGAATGAAACTATATTGCCCTAAGAAAAACCCTAGTACTTGTCAAAAGTTTTGTGATATAAAGCAAAAGGCCTGCATAAAATATTTTCTAAATGCCTGGAGATGCCTACCCTGACACCTAACATTTCCTCCTATGGGGTAAAAGTGTTTAATCAGAGCGTAGTTAACATTCATATTACACTACAACAAATGCCCATCTAGTTCAGCAATACAATTCTGACAGTGGCGATGCTGACTGTATAGGAAAATGATAATGATCATTCCCCTAGCTTCCAAAAAACAACCAGCCTAGGGACTTTCTAGAGAAAGCACATTCATAAAATGCACTTAAAAGCCTTTGATGAATTTGTCATCCATTAATTTGCTCAGATGCTTTCTGAACACTTGCATACTTTTGACATGCAGATTGTTTATTAGCAATTAGTTCCACAAGTTGCAGGTTCCTAGTGTGACTTCCTGAATCTTGTCCTATATTAAGTCCTTCTTCTCTACCTTTAACAATGCCTACATTAACAGGCATTAACTTCAAAGCCAAGATTTCATTAACCACAGGTTTGATATCCATCTTCTTTTGAGTATACTCTGGTGGTTTTTCATAACTGGATGCTATATTCATCAGATCAAGCTGAGTTTTCATTCTGGAAAAGGAAAAAAACCAAACCCAAACTTAAACCACTTTTCTTAAGGCTCTCATGCCAACACCTAAATTACACCTGCCTAGTACAAAAAAATTATTTTGAAAAGAAATGACTAAGAGGGAGACGAAATCAGAAAAAGTATAAGTCTTGAATAAAACATCAAGTCTCCTGGATTTTTTTTCCTTAAAACTTACTACTTAACAATTCACTTGAATTTGGTTTCATACACAATTAAAACTGCAAGAAGTAGTGTCTGTAGTTCAGCAAAAAGATTAAAAAACCCCCCACTTTTCTTAGTGTACTATATCTGAATTTAAATTATACTCTTTCTGCAGAAGGCATTGCTAATAGCAGTCTGAACAACAACATATTTTAAAGAACTCAGCTTCCAATATTCTTTCTTAAACGCTGCTTAAAAAGTGGTAAGAAATGTAATTAAGAATCTTTAGAAAGAAATATACAGGGTATGTACACTGCAAACACAAAGTAAAGACACTACAAAATCTCCATACACGCTCCTAGACTTAAAAGATTTCTGTGAAAGCTCCAGGTGTGCTTCAATGTTGCTGAGTTTAAATAAGATATCTAAAAATATACAATCACCATGTATTAATGAATTCCTATACTCAGCTTTTGTCAGGGAGCCAATTCAAAAGATTATCTCTAATCCCAGATAGTACATCACTAAAATTCTTGACAGATTTCCTAAAATTTGGAATATGGAGCATCCAAAAATCTGAAAGCATTGTAATGTCTTAGTTACTAAATACTATTTTCATTTTAAGTTGCTATATAGGACCATATTTAAAGTAACTATTTTCTTAGTTTTTGATCTTAAAATTACACTAGAGAACTAACAAAGCATGAAAAAAGTTTATATACCTTGTATTCAAGCCACAGGCCACCTATAAATAAAACAAGAATTTGTAAGATACAAATGAGTTTTTCTCCAACTTTCAAAAGAAGGAGATTATTGCTTTATCAAAGTACTTCAGAGACTGAATTCCCTCTCTTCATTTCACAGAACTATTGGAAATAAACTTGTTAACATTCAGAAAACTGAAAGGAAAAAAAAAGCAGCCAAACGTAAAAGAGAGATAAAATAGTACATCTGGAACAATGATTTACCTCGTAATATTTTGTGTTAAAGGCAACAAGAACTCCTTCAGAGCCAAGTGAAGGCATTCAGATAATGAATCATGACCCATATGGTTATCTCATCCATTTTAGATGTTCAGATATTTGTAAACATTCAAAGGAAAGGCTATGTTGTGTTTTTTGGTGAGGGAAAAAGGTGGGTGTTACCTGTTCTCAAGATGCTATTACACTGAGAGTAAAAAAAACTGTCTTTTAGTTTCAAGTCAGCCAGACAACGGCAGTATAAAGTGCACTGCACTGTAGTGAAGTGACACTTCCCAAAGAATGGGGTAATGAGAAGTAAAAAACTGACTGGATTACAGACTGGCTGCTTCCCTATAAAAACCTGGTGATCTCACTGTACTGAATCTTAAAGCAACAGCAAAACCACACCTCACTGAAATGAGCTGTGTACTGTTATGGGGGGCAGGTGGAAATGTGCTAAGTTTAAAGCATACTAATTACTGGAGTCAGAATATTTCTTCCAAAAGTGGAAACTCCTTTTACTTTGGGCAAAAGTGAAATGTTCCTTAATGAGTTATCAGAAACTTAGCCAAACTCTAAGTACTTTCTTAGCTTCTCATTTTTGTGAAGGCAGCAAAAAGACCCATTGCAGAAAACAGCAATACGCTGTCGTTTCTTAGGAAAGCATAAGCCTTGACGTTAAAGAAAACACAAAATTCAGATTTAAGTACTTTGCCCCATATTTACCATCTGCCTAAATTTCATACAACTGCAGCCACAGTGTTTGACATGAACGAGACGAAAAGCTCTACAGTAGCTTAGATAACAGTGAAGATTAAACTTGTGTCTTGGGTTCCTCTAGCATTTCTCTCTAAATCAGAAACAGTGTTTGTCTCTGCAGTTCCCTTAAACACTATGAGGAAGAGTTTCAGGGTCTCGTATACAGAAGTGTCTGTACTGAGTAGTACGGACTATGTCAAAAGTACCTAAGCTAGCTTTGAACTGGCTGACTGATCTCCATTGCACACCTTGGTGCAAAGATTACAGCAGGCTTTAGAATCAGGCTTTAAATTTAGAAGTTTAGAATAGCTAAACTTTTAGCTAAGCCTTAGCTATCCCAACATGGTACTCGACTAGGCAGCACAGACAAGTTACCAGTTCTGGCTCCAATCTTTCCCCCCAAAGCAGTTTTAATGTCTTACAACTTTAAAAATGCAATGGAAGTGCTTAATACACAAAGCATTTGAAAATAAATATGAAAAAGCAAATAAACATGAGGCAATTTTGAAGGCAATACTAGTAACTCCCTACCCAGCACCAAGACAGCTTACTTTCACAGCTGGTGGCATAAAATAGCAAGTGTTACTGCAACAGCTGAACAGTCAATATTAATTTCATCACTTTTCAGTGAAGAAAGTAGGTATCTACTGAATTCACTGAATACCACCGATAAGCTGCAAAGAAAGCTTTTAAAACTTTTCTGAAATGAAAAGCACTGTTACTAAAAAAAGTATGAAGTGTTAAATAACTTTAGTCTGTATTTTTTGTTTGTTGAATTTGTTTTTCCTGATCCAGTTGTTATCATAATCTACAATATAGCAGGCTCTATATGATATTTGAAGTCCATTATACAATTGATATCAAATAATAACAAAAAAGCCATCACCTCCAGAAAACGCTGAGGATCACACTCATGGACAAGCTTTTCACAATCCTTCAAAAAATTCTCAATTGTCTTCTTGTGAGTTTCCTTCATTTTCTTCCAAATCTGAAATTCTTTCTCTTTTTTACTTCTTTGATTTTCAACATCTTCTAGCAATTGCCGTTTCTTCATTTCCAGAGTTTTGAAAATTTCTCCAAATTCCAGTGCAATTATCTCTGCATCATTGTTCAGCACCATCTGGAAGCATGAGCACATAAACACAGATGAAAATGCAGTAGCAATGTCTACATGGAGTCACTTCCCTAAGTAAGCTTCAAGCACATCCATGCCACAAGAAGCACCAGTACGCTCCACGCTGTGATTAACCCATCACGCACAAGAAGAGAAACAAAGACATAACACTCACATCCGTATCATTCGGTTGACTTGAGATTTCAGTCGTCAGCTTCTCATTTATTATTCTCATTTTTTTCAGACTGCTGAAGAAGGTTAACTGCAAAACAATTGGAAACACTTATGACTTTATCCACTCCACAAAAAAAATACATTTCAGTGGTTACCTACAATCACATAATAGGATGTTCTGTGCAACACATTAAACAAAGGTTGTGATTCAAAACATCACTTAGTAATATTTAATGCTTTCCTGGATCAGTACACAGTTTCTTTTGCTATTTCTCTCTCTCAGAGCAATGTTTTAGGCTCACCTACAATACATATTGTTAGAACAGCTACAGGGTTACTTTATAGTTAAAACATCTTTTCTGCTCAGCCTTTTTTTTTAACCTCTCTCCTCACACACATATTTATCACAATGTAAGTTTTAATGCTGTTATTCCCGTTTGACAAGCAACTGTGTGATATTTGCTTTTTTTTTTTAATGCCTCATACCGGTAAATGAGAAAGCTGTCCATAACAGAGTTATTTCTGTTTACTTTTAAACTAAGATTATCGTTGTTTTTTACTCCTTTATCTCACTACATTATCACGAAGTTTTACATAGAAAGTCTAGCGCAAAGGCTCTTTTCCCCTCGTTTCCCTGAGTAATACGCAGTTGGTGACAGGAGAGGCAGGAGGGAAATCAGTGCAAAAGCTGCTTTTCACATAAAGAATAGTCAGTGCTGTAGTTAAATGTTTATACCTATGCTCTTCACCACTGCCCTGCAGTTCTTTCAGTTACTGCACAACAGAACTGCGGTATGACATGCCACCTTGCACTCAATTTGCATAGGGCACAAAAAGCACATTCTGGCCAAATGGTAGCTATTTTGGCAAAAATCACAACAACTACCACTACAACCAGCCAACCAACCATTAGGCCAGGCAGCTTGCTTTCTTCATGCAAGCAGAAATTGCAAAGACTGCAAGTCTCGATGTTAAAAAAACCCAAACAAGCCCCCCC